ATCAAATTAACTCGACTGTCTCACCCTTTGGTGGGGTGTGTTAGGCTGTGAACAAAGTGGCTCAAATAACCACAATTCACAGGCCGGGCGCATCTTGTCCGGCCACAACCGCGACGAGACGATGTCTCGCAGGGGGGTGGGGTGTGCGAAAGAGGCGGTAGTCAAGACGAGGTTGAGTTGGGAGAACAGGCAACATGGCGGAAGGTTCCCAAAGTTTTTCTTGACCTTCAACAGTTGCTCAAACTGGCATGACACTGTAGACGCAACATTGTGCCCGATTCCTGCCCAGTATGTCACATAAGACGTCACACTGGCAAACATTCGTCCACTATTCCATTTTTCCATTTGTCTATCTATACACACTCTCATCCAATCTCGCGGTCTCGTTCGCCCGTTGCAAGTTCCATATTTCCGTTTGCCAAGTCGACCACTCTTCCAGGCTAGTACACTCCAACACCTCAGCCCGCTATTCCTCCACTCTTCCATTTGCCCACTACTCCAGTGCCTATTCATACACTCATCCACTTGTCTATTTGTCCACTCGCTTAGTCATTCACTTGTTGTCGACTTCCAATCTTCTGCCCTTCCACTCCACTCTGCTACACTTTCACACTTCACCTCTTCATCCATTCGATTCTCCACTCGTCCACTCATCCATTCATCCACTCGTCCATTCACACATTCGTCTATTCCTCCACTCGTTGGTTCGGCGAGACTTTATTTCCCCGACATCCATTAACACGTTGATCCGTCCCTTCTTCATCTCTGCTGCAGTGCACAATTATGCCTCAATGTCTGGGTTCATTGCCGCCTCCGGCAGACAATTTGATACCCAAAGCCAGTGTTTCTCTGACTTGGCAGCTCTTAGAAGTCCTACCGACGACCGTCTCAGTGTGGCATCGCGAAATCTGGCAACGGGGCCAGTCTTCTGACGTGACGACGCCCCTGACTGCCCTAAGGGGACGTACCAGACGGCCGTTATTGCCGCACTCGCTTCTCCTCTCACGCACTTTGCCCTCGTCTGCTCCATCGCTCCCTTTTTCTCTCTTTCTCTCTCCCCTCCAACGCCGTTGGCTTTAGTCATATTGTCCGCTTTTCGTCCAAAGGATTGTGATTGTCTTGTTGAGTTGGCGCCTAAAACGCGATGAAATGCGAAATAGTTCAACTTGCCCGCCAGAAGAAGCCGGTGCAGGCGGACTTCGGCTCCGGCGAGATTCGAGCCCAGGATCGGTGATGTGTCTGGCGAAGGCAGGACAACGGAGCGGTGGCTCCTTTTTGTCGACTGATAAACTCAACGGCCTACTGACAAGATTAAAGTAGTGTCAGTTGATGGTCATTTTTGCCTCGGGACGAAGAGGTCCCAGTTTGGCGAAGTTGGCAAATTCACACCCCCTTCTCCTCAGTGATTTGAAGGGGGCCGATTTAACGCTTGACTGCACTCGTCTCCGCCCGACTCCCTCCTCCCCTCTCCGGCCACTCGACTCGGCTGGGACACCTTCCGGAGGCATAGAAGGAGAGGAGGCGACGAATTTGCAGAATCAACGACCCCAGACCGGCGGCTGGCAACGGAGCCGGCAGAAAGATTTAAGCATGCTCTTCATTCTCTCTCGCTCTCACCTAGATTCGCTCACTGTCCTGTCGGGGGGTGGGGCGGGGTGAAAGTGTGTTCATGGGCCTGGGGTGGATCGAGTAAACGGTCGAGACGGTCACGGTCGCCCGGACAACCTCGTCTCGCTAATCCGCTCACGGGAGGGGCTTGTCTCCGCGACCACGGCGAGGCCGCGGTGACACAACCTGTCACTCGATCGCCTCCATTCACCCACCAACAAAGTCGTCTCGTGTCGTGTTGCCGCGGATTGAGCCGACAAGTGGCTTGTTCGGCTGTCCGGTCCAACGTCGGTGACGGACAAAACGTCCAAACGACAACTTCAACAACTCACCAGCAGGCCTCTTCGCAAAGACCACCCTTCTCTGTGTCGAGGACAATGCGACCAGGCCAACATCCGGTTGTCACGGCTGCAGTCTAGCACCACAACAGGGTTTCAACGAGGCTGCAATCACCATCATTATCATCATCGTCTTCGTTTTCGTCTTCGTCTTCGTCTCGTCTTCTTTGTCATCATTTTACTCATCATCGTCATAATAATAATCATCATCATCATCTTAATCCTGGCCATCACGAGCGTCAGTATCGTCATTCTCATTCGCATCATCATCGTCGTCCTCGTCAGACCGGCCTCGGCGACTCAATCCCAGTTAGACCTGCCGGCATCAACCGTTTCGTCGACTGAACCCCTCGCGTACGGCGCTTGAGAGGCAAGAGCATTAACGTCACGCATGAATGGCGCTCAAGGGGCCGAAATGATGGCCGTTTGTCGAAAAATTATGCAATCTTGAATTACGCGGGACTCACGGCACTTCCACTGCCCACTTGTCGACCGGACGGGACTCGACTTAAGGACTCATCAGGACGGCCCTTCAAACTTAACTCGGTCGCGCCAGACGAAGGACCACACATTTTCTGATAGCGTTAATGT